TGTCTTCTAATTTGGAAAAAAATTGGAGTCGTTTGGCAAGTTTGAAGATATTTTACAAATGTAAGTTGTATTTCATACATCAATGTTCTTTTACTGTCTGTCTATAGAAAATATCACCCCTTCTGCAGTGTTAGTTTATGATATATTTACTGTGTATTAATTTGAAACAAATGGCTATTGTTGTTATATAGTTGCTTTTTCTTAAAAAGCATGTCAAGAAATATGTCACACAAGGAATATTTGTGTATAGTCCCTACATATTTTTCAAGTGCATAAGCTTCATTTGGATTCCAAGCAGCCATGGAAAATAGAAATACCAAAGAGTAAATGCCAGTGCGACATTCCATTATCCTTCATGTAAAAGGATTAATCAAACAGCTGTTTGAAAACCCAGCCGCTACATCTAGATCATAACTCAATAATATACCTGGAAAGAGACCCAAAGGGTATAGATGCCAGCAGCCCTATAGGTCAGTGTGGGAGTCTTGTTCCAGATGTCAGACAGATGTTTATTCCCCGTGAGCAAGTCAACGAGTGGATCAATCAGAGAGCATTGGTACTGGTCACAGGACATTATGAAGTAATACACGATAAGTGGCGCAAACATGAGCAGGAAAAGGATGCTTGCCAAGGAAAACCAGTCCACCTCCCTGTAATCCAAAACAGAGCATTTGTTTTTTTTCCAGCTTTCGGTTAGAACAGTGGTTTGATTACGTCAGGCAATTTTTCCAGTGGACCTTCTAGACTAACTGGAAGGAAACCGAAAATGTTTTCAGGGCACATACATTTCTTTGGGTCAAACAGCTATAAAAAACTTAGCATGTTACATACTTAACCACAAACTGTTACAAAGATACGCTAGTTGATCAGAGCAACAGAACAGATAATAACTCCCCTCCAAAGAGCAGATTATTATTACAGCCTGCATGTTTTTGATGGCAATCATGGGTATAACTGGTAGAGTATTCAGCTGGAAGTAGTAAGAGAACCACAAGAATATTATGCAAAGCTTGGAAACACAGAAAAGACGCACTTTGGACAGCCATGAGTTGAACTTACTCTACCACACGCTGTCTGTAGTGGCAAGCCATATAAGCACGCATGGCTGTTTCCAGCTGCAATACAATACTCCACTAATACTTGCACAACTCTCTGAGAGCAGAGATATGAGTCACAAATCTTGCTACAGCAGGAGATGTCAGCTGGCAATACCACAGATGGATGCCCGTTTTCCAAATCTCAGGAAATATTTCATTCAGCCCTTGAACACACTACAAATGTTACTGATTTTTATGATTTTCTTTCCTTTTTTGCAAGGAGGACTGTGTATTAACCCAAGCCATCTGGCAAGCTCTCTGTCTTAAAAATCTTGAAGAACTCTTCTTCGGCATCTGTAGCTACAGCTCGTTATCCATGAGCTTTCAAGAGAAGGGCAATGCAACAACCTGTTACAAATGGTGTCAAGTTTAAAAGGAATGTAGCACCTATAAAAGTATGAACCAATTAGAAATACAATGACGAATTAGGGTCATCAGCTTCTCTCACCATGCTCTTCCCCACTGGACTTGAGATGTTCGAGTATCATTTTGGGTGCTTTTGTGTTTTCTTTCTTCAGAAGGTTTTTTCTCCTGATGGGCTGCCATGATGACCTGTATGAAAGAAAATATTCATGGTATTACTCCAGCTGGTTCTCAGTAATTCTTATGGCTCTACAGAAGAGAAACACAAGTTATTAAAAACTATTATATAGCGTTCTGATTACAAGAAATTTGGGGGAGGATGGTAGGAAGGAAAAAATCCTTCCCAATTCCTCATCATCTTATATTCAACAAAACACAATCGAAACACTGATGTCAGAGTAATCTATTAAACTTCTTGCTAACTGGAAATTTCTTTTAAGATATATTGTATAATATATGGCTTATTACTTACATGTGAGACGCAAAGGGAAAAAACCTGTTTTGCCACGTTCTTATAAGCCTCTGAAAATAAAGTTCTGTAACTAATTGCCTTTCTTAATTAGAGAAATTGCTACTATTGTAACATTACCTGTACTGGACCTTGGCAAATTATGCACTTTTGCCCAGATGCCTTGCACCATATGTATTAGCTACATCAAAGAAAACAGGATGACAGATTATAATCCCATCTAAATCAGTAGGAACAGAGAATGACTTACTAGGCAACACCTAATTCTCTCTGTGGAACATGCATTACAGCTTTCTTTTGCTTTGCCCAAATACTTCTTTTGTTAAAGATCATCATCCCATAATCTGAACATTTGGTAATCCTCCCACCAAAAAAAAAAAAAAAAAAAAAAAAAAAAAGGTATTTTTCCTGAACTTTGTATCGTGGGAAGATATAGACTCTAAAACACACAGAGTGTTGCAGTTTGCCATTCAGGGCAGAATTTGCTAACAGTTGCTGGTTTTGTACCTTTTCAAGCTTTGATGTTTTAACTCAAACCAGAAACTAGCAGTTATTTGCACTGAAACAGACATGGTAATACAACACACTGCCAGGGCCCCGAGGACACTAACAGGCCTTACTGTCCTTGTCTGGCCCAGGGCCTCCCCCAACCTTGCCCATGGGCCAGGATACCCATTTCAGCTGATCCCAGGGCCATCAATCCCTGCCCCAGTGATGCCATAAGAGTGCTGGTCTCCAGCTCCACCAGAGCCCTGCCGCCTGGCTATGGGTCCTGCTGACCCAAGCCTGACCCACAGGCTGACATCCTGGCCCAGCCGCATCCCCACGGCCCTGCCTGGCCATCCTGGGTCTGTGTCTGACTCCGCTTGCCCTCACCAGGCCTGACCCTGACCCCCACACCTGGGCTGGTGGCCCCTGCCTGGCCTTGGCCCAGCCCTATCACCACAGGCCTGTCTGGCAATCAGGGGACCTGGCCCTGACCTATGGACTGACTTCCCGGCTTGGCCGGCCTCATCACCATGAACCTGCCTCATTATCTGCACTCTTGGTTGAACCTGGCCATAATCTCTGTGCCTGCCCTGCTCACCTGATGGCGGTACCATGGGACTGACAGGCAAGCCCCTGTCCACAGCCATGCTGTCCCCCCTGAGCTCCCAGCTCCTGGCCCCTTAGGGAGCAGCAGGCTCTCACCGCTCCCCAACACATAAAGAAAAAGGAAGACGCCTAGCTGCCAAAGTAAGGACATGTCAGACAAGATCAGCCCAGCCGCAGGGATCACACGCCACCCTCAGATTCAAAATACGTAGTATGCGACCCTGTAGAAATCTCCCCCACACAATCCATTTCAATAAAAGTTTTTATCTTCAGAAGTCATCTGAAGAGAAGTTTAATTGCTCCCCTTGCCAACTTGGTTAGGCAGAAATCCTAAGCAAAGAATGCAAGAAGATACATGGGTGGCAGGACGCTTACGTTATTTACTATTTCAATTATCATAAGTGCTAACCACTGCCCTATCTTTCAGCAGAGACATTTTAAAATGCGGTCAGACTTCTGGCTTAGATTTGAGCCAGAAGTCTGCATCTTTCCAGGTATCAGTACTTTCATACAAGGTTTCTAAAGCAAGTAAAGAACCAGCCTCAAGAGGAGGTTATTGATCACGTACGAGAAGAAGAGGCAGGACAGGAGATTCACTGTATCAAGGTTACAGCGTGGGAGCTTACTCCAGTTATTTGCATTGGTTTCGCTTTACAAAGTAGTGCAAATTCTTACAAGGAACAGTTACAGTACTAGTCAAAATTTTGCCAAGGTAGAAAGGCTCTTATTCAGGAATCATCAGAATTGGAAATATTTAGGTCAGATGAAACCTTTGACGTCATTTTGTCCAACCCCACTTGCCCCTGCTGAGAGCAAGGACAACTTGGATCAGGCTGCTCAGCACCTTGCCCAGTTAAATTTTGAATATTTCCAAGGATTCCACATGATTTGTCAGTCCTACTGAGAAAGCAGGCCTCTTTTCTACGAGACCCAGAAAAGAAATCCTAGGTTGAAAATTTTCGTGGTGTTTAGTTTTGGTTTAGGCTTTTAAGTAACCAAACAGTCCGGCTATTTTGCAGAGCTCAGCAAACCAGATGTGAAAACTCTGCTCAGTCTGCTGAGCACTTGTAGAAAGCCTGCCTGCCACTGGCAGCACCTGGGATTCTGTGCAAGACCCACACACACGCCCAGTTTATCATTAATCCTACCAGACAGCACAGAAACAAGATAATTATCCCATTACTAAAACTGGGAACTGGCTAGATGAGAAAGGCTGGAATCCAATAGGTTGCATATGGGATCCATGCTTCCCCCCTGTTTAAAGGCCAACAATTGCCACCAACTTTTGCCTTTCTACAGAGCAATTTAAGCAACAAGTGCCTGCTTAGGACTATTCCCCTAAACGGATACACCCCAGTCCGACTGACAGCTATGCTGGCAGCAACAGTCTCTCACGTTCAGAACTATTTCCACGTCACTTAACACATGCTAAACTTTCTGGATCAAGACTCCCATTGAAATCGTACTCCTATTACTGACTATTTCGATTTCTATAAATGCAAGCTTTCTGTTACCCCACTAAGCACGCCCCAAATATTGCTTTCCTAAACCCTCAGTCAGCTTCCTAACAAGAGCCTGAGGCAAAATTCACAATTCAAGTATCACCTGCACAGAGAACTCCAGAGACGCACTCTTCTTCTGAGTCCAGACTTCAGGGCTAAATGATGTACTGCATTACTGCTCACGCTGCATTAAAGGAATAATCACACCAACTGCACAATTCACTTGGAAGCTCTCCCCATTTGGTGCCTGAGCCACATATCTAATGTACAGTTCATGGAGTAAAGTTCATATAAAGTCCTTTCAAGCAATAACAGGTATGTGTTTGATGCTTTTCATCAGCATGCTCTGGACTTACTGAAGAGTAACTCAACCAAGTGGAAGTGTGGCAAAAAAACGTTTTTAGATTCTGTACTACAAAAATAAGGGAGACTCCTGTTCACGAATATGCATTTTAAAGGAAAATCCCTAGCAACATGCAATATCCCCCAGAGCCCCGTGCTTTGCACGGGGAGGAGCGGAGCGGCAGGCTGCCCAGGCGGGGTTCGCAGACTCAGGCCGGCAGGGAGGGAGGGCGGGCAGCCCCTTCCCGCACGCCGGGCCCCTCAGGCGAGACCCGGCACCTCGGGTATTATCGGCAGCGGGGGCCGCAAATTAAAAACAGCCTCCGGAGTCGGGGGGCGCGGACCGAGCCGATGGAGCGGAAAAAGCCCACTCCCCACCCCGTTCGCTCCC